ACGGAGGAGGCAGGCAGTGCGATGCCATTATAGCATGTTCTCTCTTAAATTTTGCAGCCAACATGAGTAAAACGTAAACAGCAGAATTAGCGGTAGAAGCCTATCATAATGATCGAATTGCAGCTCATATGATTATATTAGCATCTTTTAGATTTCTCTTCTTACAGCCTTGATTAGTAATAACGCCACCATTCGCAGATGACAAGTGTCACTGGTTAACAGTCTGTGATACCAGTCTATGCTTCAGTACAATTCCATAAGCTGTCTAGAGAGTAGATATCGCAGAGTGCAGTTTCGCGCAATTTTTCAAATCTTATCCTTATTCCTGGCGTGAGTGACGTTCCCGGTGCCAATTCGTCATGTCGTATGCGTCGGACTCGTGACAACAACAGCGCTAGGGGTCGCACCTTCTGCTGATTATCAGATTGAATAAACAACTGTCGGGTGGATCATGGCCAATTTCGGCTCTGTGAAGTGCTCTCATTAGACATCATAACGATGCCTCTCGTTCACTGCGGTATAATTTCCACGGAGCATCATGTTTTCCCTGCAGTTTGCTCGGTTAGTTGCGTCGAAGTAACGTCAGGAAAATTTATTTCTCAGGGAAATTCCCAGTTAAGACCAAGGCTGTCCCTTCTCCAGATTCGAACTCCGCACCTCTGAAGTTGGAAGTAGAGCTCCTTGCCTCTGTGCCACCGCGCCTAATAGCCGCCAGAAGATCATAAAGTTTGATCGCATAAATCGTCTTCTGTCCTTCTGTTGTTATAATTTCTGGCATTGCGAATGGCTTTCTCTTAGTAGTGTAAAGGGTGCAGTCATCCAAAGGGCTACAGATAAATCGTTTTTTTCATACGTTGCAGCGCAACATCTATCTTGTCTTCTTCAAAGCTCACTGTTCATTTTGGATAGCGAAAGTCGCAGATCCAGGGGTTGCTCTAGTAGTTCCGGCCATTACTAGTAAAATGAGCTTGAATGTTAAGGAGCATAACTCATTGAGCCGGGCTTCACTATGTTATATCTCCGCCCATTGCCTCGGGATATGCCAAAGGGCCATTTAAACAAACCACCGTTTTCCATAATATTTAGCACCTGCTGTGACGTAACGGAATGGGTGGTGTGGGCGTAGCGCGCTAATGATTATCTCTGCCATCTTTTTAGTTTATCTATCCACGTTACGTATCGGTTGTTTAACTCTAAATGAGTACGGCAAGAAGCATCTGTGGAAACTTCGAATTTCGACGATTTAAATTCTACATCATGATTCCACTGTACCTCTTGCATCAGGCCGTTAGGAATGATCATATACATTTATGTCCAGTATGAGGTACTTTCCAAAATCAGAGGACCTTTATGAAAACATTTAAACTGACAGTTACAATACCGCGCCCCAAGCTGGC